GGCCCGACTACTACCCGGCTACCGACCTCTCTGATCATCCGAGCGTCAGTTGTGAAAAAAATTCGTGAGTGATGGACGTGATTTTCAAGCGGATAAGAGGTGAAGCCTTTTTCCGAATATTCAAAGGTATGTAAATATGTATATAATTTTTTGTATAGCGGGCGTACAATTGTATGTATGTAATTAAAGGATACATTTCAAATCTCTTTACCAAGCGTATACCAATTAAGGTGAATTGTTTTTTAGCTAAGAGCTACGTACATACATACAATTGTACATAAATTTGTGGGTGTACAGTTCTATAATAACTTTATCTTATTACTCGCATTTTATTTATTTTTCAGAGTGAAAATACCTGCAGTTGCATCAGCCAAATAATTTGTTTGTCGAAGCTGTAATTTTGTTTTAAAACGTTCTAAGGTAAGAAAAATATGTTGTATTTGTTTGACATACTTATGTATGCATGTAAATATCTATGCATGTACGCGGCTCACCCGATCTGAAACCCGATTTTCAACCCTTTCATATTCTGCTCCTCTCTCTCTTCTCCTTCTTAAAACTGACACGATCTGCCCTGCTTACATTCGGTCTCCCTTCGCGCAAGGGACTGTATGTAAATATATATGTCTGTATGTACGTGTCTCTCCCGTGCCTCTCTCTCTCTCTGAAATTCGATTTTCAACCCTTCATTTTCTACCTGTCTTGCTCCTCTCTCTCGGTCGTCTGTCCAACGTGTTTGTATTTTGGCTATTATTAACATTACATTATTTCAAAAAAGTTGTTTATCTAAAAACAAATCATTGATATCCCAATAACTCTTTTTTTATAGATGAGGAAAGGCGAAGAAAATGGATCACCGTAGGTCATATGAAGTTCAACAGACCTTGGGTAATAATAATGTTTTCTTGAGTCAAAAATGTGTTATTTAAAAATGTTTAAATGTTAAGTGTTAAATGTTTTAAATGTAAATAAATATAATAAGCAAAAGAAAAAACTAAGTTACATTTTATTTTTAGGGTTTCAGTGTTAATATAAAACTTCCTTTCAAGAAATATTATTTCTTAAATCAAGAAATAAAATTTCTTGAAAGAAAATTTAAACAAGAAAGAATTTTTCTTGTTTAAAAGGTGCCTTTCTAAAAAACCCTTTCTTGTTTTAAGAAATTTAATTTCTTGAAACAAGAAACAAACCACCTTTGAAACAAGAATCGCCTTTCCTGTTTTAAGAAATATTTTTTCTTGTTTTTATGGTGGCTTTCTAAAAAACCCTTTCTTGTTTTAAGAAATTTAATTTCTTAAAACAAGAAATATTTTTTCTTGTTTTAATGGTGCCTTTCAAAAAAACCATTTCTTGAAACAAAGGTGAGGTCGCCTTTGGCAAAAATTCAAGAAAGAATTTTCTAGATTTTAAGGAAATTCTTCGATTTTTTTTTATGAGTGTAGGCCATCCCTTTCACTCAATCTCTGGCCATTTGTATAGCGTCGTTTTGGCCACTCTCTACTCTCCATTCTCCAAAATTGAGGCAAGCGCGCATTTTCCTCCCGAAAAACTTTCTCCGTTGCGTCCGGCTTGCATTGCCCTTAATGGCTCACCATCTACACAAAACGACAGATCAGCTTTGGCCAATGAAATTATTGGAAAGGATTTCTATAGAAAATAGGGATTTTTTGAATTTTAAAATTCAATGCAATTCAATTAAATATTATATATCTTCTCTTCTGAATAATACAATAATAATAATCTTCATAACAATGATGTCATTATAAAATACCATAATGAGGTAAATCTATTTTTAATGGCAGGCCTATTTTGAAACGGAAAGATCAACATAGAAATCTAAAAAATAATGAATTAAATGTTGGTTTTTGCCATTTTAAGATATATTTCGATGATATTTTGCGCTGCCCGCTGAGACTCTGATGCCTTTTAAAGCGGGTCTCTGATTCTGATTTATTCATTCGTACACTCATAAAAAAAAATCGAAGAATTTCCTTAAAATCTAGAAAATTCTTTCTTGAATTTTTGCCAAAGGCGACCTCACCTTTGTTTCAAGAAATGGTTTTTTTGAAAGGCACCATTAAAACAAGAAAAAATATTTCTTGTTTTAAGAAATTAAATTTCTTAAAACAAGAAAGGGTTTTTTAGAAAGCCACCATAAAAACAAGAAAAAATATTTCTTAAAACAAGAAAGGCGATTCTTGTTTCAAAGGTGGTTTGTTTCTTGTTTCAAGAAATTAAATTTCTTAAAACAAGAAAGGGTTTTTTAGAAAGGCACCTTTTAAACAAGAAAAATTCTTTCTTGTTTAAATTTTCTTTCAAGAAATTTTATTTCTTGATTTAAGAAATAATATTTCTTGAAAGGAAGTTTTATATTAACACTGAAACCCTAAAAATAAAATGTAACTTAGTTTTTTCTTTTGCTTATTATATTTATTTACATTTAAAACATTTAACACTTAACATTTAAACATTTTTAAATAACACATTTTTGACTCAAGAAAACATTATTATTACCCAAGGTCTGTTGAACTTCATATGACCTACGGTGATCCATTTTCTTCGCCTTTCCTCATCTATAAAAAAAGAGTTATTGGGATATCAATGATTTGTTTTTAGATAAACAACTTTTTTGAAATAATGTAATGTTAATAATAGCCAAAATACAAACACGTTGGACAGACGACCGAGAGAGAGGAGCAAGACAGGTAGAAAATGAAGGGTTGAAAATCGAATTTCAGAGAGAGAGAGAGGCACGGGAGAGACACGTACATACAGACATATATATTTACATACAGTCCCTTGCGCGAAGGGAGACCGAATGTAAGCAGGGCAGATCGTGTCAGTTTTAAGAAGGAGAAGAGAGAGAGGAGCAGAATATGAAAGGGTTGAAAATCGGGTTTCAGATCGGGTGAGCCGCGTACATGCATAGATATTTACATGCATACATAAGTATGTCAAACAAATACAACATATTTTTCTTACCTTAGAACGTTTTAAAACAAAATTACAGCTTCGACAAACAAATTATTTGGCTGATGCAACTGCAGGTATTTTCACTCTGAAAAATAAATAAAATGCGAGTAATAAGATAAAGTTATTATAGAACTGTACACCCACAAATTTATGTACAATTGTATGTATGTACGTAGCTCTTAGCTAAAAAACAATTCACCTTAATTGGTATACGCTTGGTAAAGAGATTTGAAATGTATCCTTTAATTACATACATACAATTGTACGCCCGCTATACAAAAAATTATATACATATTTACATACCTTTGAATATTCGGAAAAAGGCTTCACCTCTTATCCGCTTGAAAATCACGTCCATCACTCACGAATTTTTTTCACAACTGACGCTCGGATGATCAGAGAGGTCGGTAGCCGGGTAGTAGTCGGGCCGAGTAGGCCCTTCGTCCCACTTCGTTTTTCTTGTCGTTAACATTCGGCAGCCGAAGGAATTCAATGGCTACTTTCCTATATTCTAGGGTCATTTCATTCATATATTCAAAGGTGATTTTGTCATTAAATACGTACAAAAATGTTTTGGCTGCGACGGCAAAACAAACATATGAGATTTTCATTTTTCTATTTTTAAGAAAAATTCTTTCTTGAATTTTTTCCATCAAGAAAGGTTTTCTGTATTCAAAGGACAATTTTCTAATAACAAGAAATTTTTTTTCTATTTTCAAAGGTAGGCCGATTCAATGGCGAGATTTCCAAAATTTAGAAATTAATTTTTATGAGTGTATGACTCACTTTGGTCACTTTAAAATTCAGAACCCACAAAACCGAATACCACGACACATAATTATTAACGGGACATTTGGGCACGCGCTGAATTCGATTTACTTCGCACCCACTCCCTTCTGCCCGTACTTTCGTTTAGTTTTCAGTTTGTCATTTCTATGGACTCTCGACTATCTTATCAGCTGAGTTTGTAGGTGTTTGTGCAAAAAGCAATGGCAAACAGATTTCTTTATTAACAAAAAGGAACGATATAGTCGAGAGCCACGACTATAAAAATACCCTGATAAGAAATCTGTTACCTTTCCTTGGGTTTTAAGAAACATTACAAACTAAAAATTATCCCACTTGCAAAGTCTTTTGTTTTATGCTGAGATTTTCTTTGACGAATAAATTTCAATTTAAATATTTTGTTTAATTAAATCTAATTAAACCTAAGACAATACATAGGGCACACAAATAATTCGAATATAAAAACATGTTTATCTTTATTAGCATTTTCGCTTTACAAAGTACATCGAGACTAAAATGAGCTCAATTCACAATTCTTATCAGCAATTGCAGTGGTTTCATTATCGTTCATGTGCTTAGATCACAATTCTGGAGAATTGTTTAAAATGTATATTAATCGCCTTTTTAAAATGTGAGCTTTTATTTTTTTTGCCAATTTAACTTTTTCTATCAGTTATATGTATACATATGTTATTATACAGTTATTAAAACTCCAATTTTAAATTAAATTTTGCTGAGGTGCGAAACAATTTCGTACTCGCGCTGATTAAAAAAGTATTCAATAGCCTTTCAATTGCTCTAAAATCTTTATCTTCGCTGTATTGTTTGTGATGGTAATAGCTCTATTCAAATTTATTCCGTTCGAAAGAGCTCTCGACGCTGGCGATGATGTGGATGCTGATGGCCCCTCGCTAACATTTCGGTCACTCTGCCCGGTCCCCCGTTTTACAATCCCTGAACATTCTTATCGGTCCCCCATGTGGTGGCTTCTTTATTCCCAAAAAGTTTAACCGGACTCTGTGCTTACTACTCCTGTTGCTAGGGAGTAAACGGGTATATTGTAGAATTGCGAAATATGTGACATATCATTTTAAGAGGTTTTTGACATTAATAAAATATTTGGAATCATCTCGCTATCTCATTTTCAATGACCGAAATTATTATAATAATTTAATTAATTAATTATACTATAGTAGAATATCCTTATAACTCTTTCTTTCTATTTGATATCTAGCTGATTACAAAGTATTATATTACTCTTAAATTAAGAAGTATAATAATTTGATAAAATTAGAAAAAACAAAACAGATTAACGGGTATGTGTTAGTCGGAAAACTCGGCTTCTGGATTGTTCGAGTGTTTTGGCTTTTCCTCCTCTTGCTCCCCCATGCGAGAGGAGAGAGAGTGAGAGACCGAGCGGGAGAGAGGCCGCACTTCGGGTCGCCTCGTGGCGCCGTCGGCCGACCAATCAGAGAGCAGCTTGGCCACTTCGTGAGCCGTTCGTGAGCCCCTTCGTTTCGCTGTCGTTGCATAATGGCCAAGAGGCGACAAGTGTTGGCCCAAACCGCACAGCCAAACTGAACTGGCCCAAAAGAAAAACAAGGGAAAAGTCCGAATAAAAAAATTCGGCCGCGGAATGTAAGAGCGTTTACAACGCACACACACGTAGTCATATAGTGGTAGTGGTGGTAGTGCGGGCGCATCGGGTCCGGTTCGGCGCTCCTCGGCACCATTCGGCTCTCTCAGCTGTTCCAATCGGCGGCAGAGCGCCAGTGCTCCGCCACCTTTCAAATCGCTTACAACGCGTCAGCGCGACGCGGACGCTCCAAACGCAAAAAGAAAAACGGAACAGAGAAAAAGTAATACGCACTGCAGCGCCACAGCAGCCGAATAGGAACAACAACAAAAACAAGAACTGCGCATGTAAAGCCGTGTTTTTATTATTATTTGTTGTTGTTTTCTTTACGGTGTTTTGCTGTTATTGCTTTCGTCGCAGACAACAAAAGTGGCAAAGTTTTCGCCACGGCATTGCTCATACGCCCCGTCTCTTGCAAATTCGCACACACACACAAGCTCACACGCGCGCTAATACAAGCGCACTTCTACATACAAGTGTACGCGCGCGTTTTGTGTTTTTTTTTATTCGTTTTCTGTTGGTGACATGCAAAAAGCAACAAAATAATATTATTAAATACGACGAAAGCGATTAGTTCGGCGCTTTTCGCAAAAGTGGGCAACAAAAGTGCATCAACGCAGTGCAAATCAAAATCAAAACAAAAACAAACCGAAAAATAAATAAATCACTTATTATTAAAACATCGCAAAGTAAGCTTCTCCACACACACACACACACACTCGCGCTCATAGACTGGCTCACAGACACCAGCACACTCTCGCACTCACACACACAGATAGAGCAACAAGTTTGCGTGCCACAAAATTTCCATTCGGCATTTTTTTTGCGTTTCTGTTTGTTTTTATTTTATTTTTTTAGACCGATAGTTGTTGACAACAAGCCAGCTTTATCTTGTTGTGTTTTTTTTTCTTCTCGGAAATAATATAAGTATTAAAATGGCGCTTTGGCCTGACTTTTGACATTTTTATTGTCTCGTTTTCAATTTTCGTTTTTCCCGTGAAATTTGTTTTAGCGCGCATTGAATCGAATTCTTGGACAGCACTTTTCGAAGGGTTCTCAAAATTTAGCTCGAGGTTCAGGGGGCTTGAAAATTCTTCGGAAATACAAAGTTGATATACCCCTGCAGTTGTAAGCACAATTGATCTGTTATCAAATTCCCAGTTCGTTTTTAAAAACGAAATGTTATAAACATCGGCAAAAACTATGATTTAAAAATTTATCAAAATAAAAACAAATTAAAATGCAATATTTATTTAAATTATTTTATAGTCAATATTGTTTCAATCTGCAATATTATTTATTTGGTTGTTTGAACTACGTTTTAATGTTTGTTCTTTTAATAAACAAAACGGAATTATAGACCATAAACGTGAGGGAAATAACAACTTGGAAAATGGATCACTGAAATCCATATTTATAAATTCGTTGTAAAATAAAGAAGCTAGCATTTTTGGCAAATTTCCATGATAAGAAACGCATTTCTCTCTCATTAAATAAAAAAATTCCGTATATTCTAAAAAGGAAGCCCTAAATTGTTAAACTGACTTTATCAATGCAAAGTCTTCATCTGTGCTGACATATTCCCATATCCTTTAAAGGATCTAAACGAGTATGCGTGATTAAATCCGCACCATGTGGACGTTCGGAACAGTTGGTATTGGTAAAGGTATATCTGCTTAGATCCTTTGCCCACATTGTTCGCGGTCCTTGTCTTCTTTTTTGTTTCCTTCTGTTGACGCTAAGTACAAGAGCAAAGTATCGTCCTTCTGTTGTTGTTGTTGTTGTTATTCCTGCAGCACACACCTTTGCACTTTAATTCCTGCCGTCTTATTTAGCATCTGCGCCGGGTGTTACTTAAAAAAAAGAGGAAAAAGAAGAGAGAAAAAAAAGTGGAAGGGATGGGGAAGGACATGTGAGAGCGGGTATATGGAATCGACTAGCGGCGGCAGCGGTTTTAATGTCAATAAGAAGCGGCGGCTGTTGCCACTCACTCACACTCTCGCCCCCTCTCGCTCGGGCACGCACTCACACATGGCCACATGGCGTGTGCACGCGGTCAGGACGTGCACACACACACACTCACACATTCGAAGCAACAGTGCCGTCCTATATCCTTCGGCTTGTTTATCCTTGTTTTCTCTCGATTTCATGCTCGTTTCCCACTTGCCTCCACTTAAAACGGCCGCTCGTTCTCCCTCTCTCTTGTCACACTGAGAAAAAAAGGGCTTTAAACTTCATAATATATTTTCTTAAAATCTAGGAGAAAGAAAGGGTTTAAAACAACCTTTCCCTTTGGTAATTTTAAAAATTCCTTTATGTTGTGCATAGAATATTTGTTTGTTTAATATGTTCTGATTTTTTCCTGTGCATTTAAGCCCTCCATCTTCTCTGGCTCATTATTGTTATTATACGTATATAAGTAAGGGTAGGGGATAGGAGTATATGGTTAAAGGGTTCCGTAGGTGATTTCTGAATCATCTGGATGATGATAAATGACACACGCTGCTCCTGATATCATCGGTATTATTATAGCTTGGTAAATACATATAAGGAAAAATGTACAAAGATTAATATTATATCTTATTCCATTGCGGAAAATGATAAATTAGTAAAATACCTTTAAATATATAATATTGATAATACTTTTTAAAATGCTAATACAGTGTATTTTGCATACTTGAGGTTCGTATTCCTCTCCTTGATCCAAAAGCTTGCAATCTTGGGTTTTAGGGGATGTGCGCACCCCTCTTTAAGGCTCACACAAACTGTCTCACGCACACCGACACAGGGAACTTGTTCTGCCTGCCACGCAATTTGAAACGGCCTTGAACGGCATTTGATAGTTGCTTTCGGTGTCTGTTTTGGCACTGCCCTAGACCTGCATGCCATCTATGGGAACCGAATCTATACTGTGTATACATTATATATGCAACACTTACATATAAAGCTGTTGTTAAATTAAAGGTTCGTTGTGGCTTGTATGCCTGTTATTTTTTATAGTAAGGGGGAATTTCGTCTTTGGCAAAACGTATGCAACAAGTATCTCTCTGATCTCGAGAATTGAATTGGTCACTTCAGATTCTTTTTATAAGGACATACATTTCTAGAAACTTTTATGTTGGCAATATATGTTTAACTAATAAGCAACAGGATTTTAGAATTTTTCCAATTCTAGAAAGTCTAATTTAACAGAAACAAGAAAGGAAGCTAGCTTCGGCCAGCCGAAGCTTATATACCCTTGCAGATCATTCCTATTAATTAACAAATCGCAAAAATGTTCAATTAATTTCATTAATCTCATTAATTTTCCGATCGTTCCTATGGCAGCTATATGATATAGTCGTCCGATTTTGATCCAATTAAAATTGAAATTCGGAAATATTTAAAAAGAGTCATATCCTAGAGTAGAAGATAATACAATAAAAACCAAGGAAGCTAGAATTTATTTCCTATTACTTTTCCATTAATTTTCCGATCGTTCCTATGGCAGCTATATGATATAGTAGTCCGATTTTTTAAATATTTAATTCGAAATTCAGAAATATTTAAAAAATAACATCCCCAAAAGTAGAAGGTAATATTTCAAAAAACACCGAAGCTAGAATTTTTTTAATGTTTTCTTTTCCGATCCTTCCTATGGGAGCTATAAGATATAGTTGTCCGATCCGGTTGGTTCCGACATATATACTACCTGCAATAGAAAGAAGACTTTTGGGAAAGTGTCATCCCGATAGCTCAAAAACTGAGAGACTAGTTTGCGTAGAAACAGACAGACGGACAGACGGACAGACGGACAGACGGACAGACGGACAGACGGACAGACGGTCAGACGGACAGACGGACAGACGGACATGGCTAGATCGACTCGTCTAGTGATGCTGATCAAGAATATATATACTTTATGGGGTCGGAAACGTCTCCTTCACTGCGTTGCAAACTTCTGACTGAAATCATAATACCCTCTGCAAGGGTATAAAAATGCATCGAGAATTAAATTGGTCACTTCAGATTCTTTTTATAAGGACATATATTTTAAGAAACTTTTATGTTGGCAATATATGTTTATATAATAAGCAACAGGATTTTAGAATTTTTCCAATTCTAGAAAGTCTAATTTAACAGAAAAAATCCATTCTATATTGGCTTAAGATGGCAAGAAGAAAAAACCAGAAGGTGGCAATGCTATTATCTTGAGCACAGGTGTACATACGTACATATGCTTTGGATTTTGTCAAAAATTTGCATTTTGCAGCCGCACAACAAAAGTTCGAAGCGATTCAAGTCAAGTCCGAGTCAAGTTGAGCCGAGTGGAATTGATTCCATTGGTAACTCATAAATAAACATGAGTCGGGGAGATCGTTAAGCGAACATGCTTTCTGCACCGCCGCTCCGCCCCTCGAAACGCCCCATGAAAAATCCCCCATACCCGTCAAATCCATACAAACCATAAAGAATCGACATAACTGTGGCAATATTGTAAATGCAATTAACCGTTGTTCTCTGCCGCTGCTGCGCAATTGAATGTCGGACATTGGATAACCGAGAGCTTTGGAGGAACTATGATATAGGGGCACTTGGCACGCGTCGACTCTTTATACGGCAGAAAAATTACGGTAGTAATAGTTCTATTTGGACCCTGCTTACTCCAGGGGTGCTTCATGAAATGCAGTTCCTAATTATTTTTTTTTAATATCCCACCATTTTCCAACAAGTTCTTTAATTCGGATCGTCACTGTACTGTGTACGATTTTTATTTATTTTGTATTTTGCGAAATAATTTTAGTTTTAACTGAGAAATTGTTGAATTCAAGTTGTTTTTTAAACGCATAGGTTGCAATAAATATAAAGGAAATTGTTTAGTCAAACAATTACAATAAAATTTTTATGGTCTTTAGTTTCTTTCTTTAGTTTTCTTGAATTTAATATGGAATATGGTTTATTTATTCCATTTAAGGTATAGACAAAAATTCTTTGAAAAAATAGTTCCCTTTTGTATGCACGAATAAAGAAAATAATCAAACTTAAACTATTTGCTTTAGTGTTATACAAATAAGCGACTTGTGCAAAATGTGGCCAAGAGATACAAACAAGTTTTTAAAATAGTAAACATAAAGAAACACCTTCGATGGGATCGCCTCACAGGCGACGATTAGGTGCTTTACTTTGTGGATTGGATCACTTTGATTTGATTAATTTATTCTATGGAAATTTCTTCCGATCATTTGTGCTTTTAGTCTTCCATTCTTCTTATAGCGCCTACTCGCTTATTTTTTTTTTACTACGCCTACACTAACCATTTCCCCGCGTTTTTGGTCTGGCTTTCGTTATCGTTACTTGGTGGAGCAGTTGTTTTTTATTTTTATTTGTTGCTGCGGCTGCTTGTGCGACCTTCGCATAGCAAAGCGTCGCCGTCGTCGTCAGTCAAACAGCTTCACTTATTATAAAAGTATTATTATTATTTCGCTGGCTATCCAAGTC